TCTCTCTCTCTCTCTCTCTCTCTCTCTCTCTCTCTCTCTCTCTCTCTTTCTTTCTTTCTTTCTTTCTTTCTTTCTAAGCAGTTTCTCACCATGGGTGTATTAGGATCTCTAAACCACTGCCTACTTGGTTACCTCGTTTACCACCCACATATTCCACCTCTTCACACTTATAAGTGTTTATCAATAAACTGAAAGCCATTATTGCCAAAAGAATTTTTCTTTTGCTTCCTCCTTGAAAGGAATAAATTATTCATCACTGAACTTGCAACCAACTCATACCTCATTTCCTGATGTGACTTCACCCTCCATTGATTCATGTCATACTCCCTCTCTGATGTTAAACACTACTGATCTCCACATAGGGTACAGATGAAGCAAAGCTAGAAAAATATCACAGACCCACTTGGGGAAGACCAAGCAGGACATTTGTTGCCCCTGAAATTCTCCCACTTGGATTTTCTTGTAGCTCTATGTACTCTGTCTGGCTTCCTTCAGAATCATGTATATTTTACTATGAACAATAACTATAAATAAAACTAAAAACACACTATAAAACTAACCATACTAACATAGATAGTAGAGTGTCAAGGAGACCTCAACACTACATAAAAAACAACAGGCAACTAAGAAATGCTAAGAACAGAAGAAATAGACTTTCTCAGGAATAAACACACCAATTTATTATGAAATACAAAACACTCAGCCCTGAAAACATTCATAGAAGTAACATTATTGTTAGGATTCAGAACCAGGATAAACAACTAAGGTATAAATTTACATAGCAAGTCAGGCTTGGCCTCCAGATTTTCCCAGCATCCCTCAGTCCCTACTTGCCTACCCAGTCCTTTGTCCTCAATTTTCTAGCCAGGGCCTTGGCTAATCCTGCCCCAGACTCCCAGAGTATATTTCCTATATAATCCAGATCTTTTACTCTCTCCTTCCTTCTCTCTTCTCTTCTCCTCTTGCATTTTCTTTCTCACTGTGTTGAGCATGCTCTTTCTCTCTTTCTCCACCCAGTTCACTGTCTTCCTCCCCATGACTACTTCTCTGGTCTCATTCCTTGGGATCAGTTAGAGTGTCTGCCTTTATATACTTTAATCTGGCTTGGAATGGCTCATTTCACCAGTGGAGAATTCACACATCAATTACAGAGGGTAAGCAGGTTGTATTGTGTATAGGAATGTATGTAACAACTAATGAAAAGGAGAGAAGACACACATTTGAAAGAGAACCAGGAAGATATATTGGAAGGCTTGTAGGAAGGAAAAGAATGGGAGAAGTGATGTAATTATGTTGTAACCTGAAAAAAAGTAATAATTTAAAAATCGATATAGCATGAAAATATTACTAGGTCAAATTTTTTCTAAAATGAAACTGCTATGATAAAAGCAAAAAATAATATATTTGAGGGATTCTACAAAAACCAGTTATTCCATTTGTCAAAAACTAATAGTGAAAAAAAAAAAACAAGGGAAAAAAAAACAAGAGAAAAGGTTTCTTCCTGTCATCTACAAAAGGTCAAAGTAAATTTTAATGTGGTAAAGAAGTGGTGGTTTAGAAGATTGGATTCTGCCTCTAGTTTTGAAGACCAGATTCTGCCTCTGAGGCTATCGTATTTATAAATGAGTACTCAAGTGCATCATATACAAGACTGAGCTTTACTAATACGTTCTATGTGTGCTGTGTGTGCTTTATCAACTTTATGTGCTTCAATAATACATGCAGTCAGCCCCAGAAGCAATGTTTGCACTACTGTTGTGTCTGAGCTTCTACATTCAAATTAACTCTATGTAAAGGGATGAATTCCCCAAAGCCCCAGAAGTATTTCCTCCCAGGATTTCCTCTTTATGCAAAGGAGAAGGCTGCAAAGTGCTGTCAGAATACAAGGGCTCCTCAAATGGGCTTTCCTTAGTGGCTAATCCTCTTCCATATGATGAGTTCTTTTGCATAAATTCTCCCTCATGGAAAACAAAACAAAGAAAACAAAAACCCAAGGGCACATCAGTGTTCCAGAGAGAAAGGAAAAAGCAGATAATTTTGGTTTTAGTAGCTTTCCTAAGTACTCCCAGAGTGCTTAGTCATTTGAACACACAAACAAGTTGAGATTTTCATGTAAATAAATTTGAAAATCAAGACCATCAGTCCAGGCCTTTTAAAAATGTTTTTAACTAGTCTAATAGAATGAGAGCCATGCTTAACAGCGTTAAAATGACTAAGCCAGGCAATTTTATAAAAAGCAACAGTACCTCCACAAGGACTTCTTTGGGCCACTCTTTCTTTATTATGAAAAACTGTTCAACAAACAAAAGACTTAGAAGACATTTTCTTTTTTAAGCCCTGGCTTCTAAAACTCTGAAAAAAAATTTTTTTTTAAATCTCTATCTTACTCTTTCCTGATTTCCATATGGCCTCACCAGCTCCTTCAGTTCACTCACAGAACAAATGATTATAAATCAAAGGACATTCATGGCAGGCAGAGGAGCACAGAACCTATATCTCATCTGTTCAATGCTGGAGAGAAAGCTGGCTGGAGAGCTTGCCCTTTGTTGGGTATAGGAAGTAAAGTGGTGAAGATTGACCTCCTTCAGGAACTTCAGCTCAGATTGGCTGAGCCACAGGTAAAGACCTGAACTGCTTTGCTGTTTTTCTATTTCACAGCTTCTGAGAGCTATTATTTGTTAGCCTCAAACCACCTCTTGATTACCAAATGATTATTATATTAAAGAATAAAAAATATTGACATATACAAAATCACTCAAAAATTAAAATTTCATGTGACCAATTCTAGGTGATACATATTCTTTGAGGATGAAATGAGCCAACTGAATACAAATCAGCATATATAAAGGCCAGTTTATTGGGAAGCCACTCTTGCCTGAGTCCATAGGTTGTAGAAGTTGCCATGGGAGAGAGACAGAAGGTGAAGGGAGAGAAAAAGTATAATCACACAAGAAGAGAGAAAATGCAGAGAGAAGGAGAAGAGAAAGAGAGGACAAGAGACCAAAATGTCTGGAAGAGCTTCTGGGGGGGTGATCCCAGCTCCTGGGTTGAAAAGTTCAGGGTACAGGACACGGTATACCAGCCATGCCCAGTAATAGGTCAAGACTGAGGGATACTGAGAGAATCTGGAGTCCAGGTCAGTGTTGGTATATAAAATAAGCACACCAGCCATGTGTCCCAGGTCTGAATTCCAACAGCCCAGTCTTTTGTTGATAATAAATGAATATGGGGCAATCATCTATGGCAACTTCCTGCTGACAAGGGCATATTGTTATGGGGGGAGGGGTACAAAAGGCTGGAATGTTGGCCAAGTCCTGGAACAGCAGGCTGTTTTACTTGCTATCCAGTGTGTCGGACTATTTGGGACTGGAAATGTGAAAACCTAGTTGAAGCCATGGTGGGTAGCCTAGATGAGGTTCTAGGAGACACCTGGACTTGGAAGGATACTATACTGTGTGTGTGTGTGTGTGTGTGTGTGTGTGTGTGTGTGTGTGTGTGTGTTAGAGGCAGAAGATGAGGTTAAGTAGTCTATAGAGAAAAATTTTTTCCTGGGGGTACATTTAGGACATGGTCTTAGTAGTTGGGGAGTGTAGTCAGGAATCCCACCCTCAGAAATAAGCATGTAGGGAGGAAAACAGACTGTTGATTGTCAGTACTTATCTGGAGTCTATTTGACCTGTGACAGGTTGATTGGAGTAAATTCCCCAAAGCTTATAAAAATCTTGTTACGTTTATAAAAAGAGATAAATTTTAGACCAAGTATTTAGTGGAACAATGAATCCAGTTATCCCCTAAGCACAACCAATTCAAATGATGCATTATCTATGTGCTGATTCATCTGACCTTGAAATACTAGTTACTATTTATGAAAGGTCTTCCATGTGACAGTATAAAGCATATTGACTCATTAAGCCTCAAGATTACTCCTAAGGTGGATATTATTATCTTAGTGAGGGCATTAGGGTACTATGAGGTGGGATAAATTTTTCAGAGTGAAAATAGTTAGAAAATCCCAAAAGTAGAGACTAAACTCAACACTTCAAATTTTCTCCATGGATATTCTTCAACCTCAAGTAAAAAGAAGAGCTCTTTATTCCCTCTATAGGCTTCAGACATTCTCTCCTGCACTCAAAGTGACAATGAGAACATTAGCCATAGAAATTACCACTACTTGACCTCACTTAGTTCTGGACAAGGCTTTGTGAGTTTTCCTTTAGGAACAAGAAACTGTCTACCATATAATAAAACAAAAAGAAAAGTCCCAAACCAGAAATAACCCCCGAATATTTATTCTCTGTCATTATGTTTTTCAGAAGAGTGACTGATAGCTGATATCTGCATTAACAGGGAAATTTTCAGTGTTAGAAAAGACTAAGCACATAGCTTCAAGACCATCCATCATCATACTGTGAGTCAACACAGCTACACCTGAGACACCATATTTGTCTCAGTGCTTGTAGGAAACCTGTATGTGTGTGGAACCACCATGCTATGAGAGGGAAGAAAGGCAGAGAGGGGAGAGAGAGAGAGAGAGAGAGAGAGAGAGGCAGGATTGCCCAAGTGTATAGAGTCTCTCTCTCTCTCTCTTTCTTATCTAACTCCCTGAGAGTAGATCACAGAGAACTCTGCCCTTGCTTCTTGTTTAACATTTACTCCTCTCTTACATTATTGGAGAGATTACCAATACCCTGATACTTTCTGTAGCGCAGACTCTCAGAGCTACTCTGTTCAGTCTTGCTCAAAGCAACCACACTGCTTAATTAAATTACTATAACTGGTAAAAATTTGGAAAGTCAATCAAAATGTCTAAGCAAAAGAAGGTTGTTCCTCCTTACCAAAATGATTCAGTAAGATGAAGCTGTTAATTTCAGGAGTATAACTATGAGGCCAAATGTTACCAAATGGGTAAACAGCTAACTATTTCAAGATACTACATGCAAGGAAGTTAACATAACTGATTGCCATAGTCCTGATCAATTGAACTTCTGAACGTGTTAAGAGAAATTGAGTATATCCAAATGTTGTCTATGTTTAAGATCTAACTATACATTGTTTCTGGGACTTCTCTTTGTGACATTGCTTACAGTCATTTTTCCTAGGTTATCAGTTTCTCAATCTCTCTCCTCTTCTATCTCTGTGACAACCATCATTGTCTTAATAATCAACCACATTCTGAATTAGACAACCTCTTCTCTGGGGATATTATCTTTCATGCCTGTTGTTCCCTGAATTCTGAAGTCTAGACTGAGAGACAAAACTATGATGGAGAAGTCTGGATTTATTACAGTTTTAGCAAACTGAGAAGAGAAAGAAGCTCACACTACACACACACACACACACACACACAAACATACACACACACATTTTACACACACACACACACACACATTTTGTCGGTGCTGTTTTTACATTTTACAGAAAATCATGAGACAAAAGCCAGAAACATATAGACCTATTTGTGAGAAAATTAAGAAACTCTTTCCTGAATGAAGGGTACTTAGCCACTAGAAGCCTCAACCTTAATATAACTGACCTGGAATAATAATAGAAACCTCAACTTCATCATTTCACGGCCACAATCTCAACTGTAAGTATTTTGGCTCCACCAATATCTTTTTCTGTCAATTTTCTTTAAATGTCGCTGTGGTAGTCTATAATTTATTGACTTACAAGGATCCAATGACTTTCTTCCATATACCATGTAAAGTCACAGGATAGCATCAACTGAAGAAAGAAGAGAATGCTGGCAGCTCATGAAGAATTGATCTATGGACACAAAAGGAAATCATAAAAGGCAATGGAGGAACATGTCAGTGCTTGGATGGTGCAATGAACAATAAAATGGAAAAATAAACAGCATTTTGGAGTCATAAATGGCAGGACTTTGTAAGAGCCTGTATGTACCGCATGAAGAAGGATCTAAGGATAATTTGCTATATTTATTTGTACAGGTATGGTGTCACTTATAGAGATGGATAATTTAGGGACAAGAACAACTCTGCTGAGAGTTGTGCTGAAGACACATAAATTTTTGAAGTAATTTAGTCTGGGGGGAAAAACATTGAATATGGGTAGGATACAGAAGAAACTTGAAGCAACAAGAAAGTAGTAAAAAGACTTAGAAATAGAGAAAGAAGAGCTAGTTCAACAGTTAGGACACAGCATTGACAAACACCAATATCTGAAGCTTAAAAGTGAAAGAAGAAACCACCAGGTACACAGAGGCAGAACAACGCTGAATATACATCCAGATCCACTTGAATGATGGCAATTCTGTGGTTTGGGTTTCTATTTGTGAAGAACCAAAGTAACATATGCTTACTCAAGTCATAGATTTGTTCTCCTGTAGCTTCTCTATGTTCTTCTACATTGCTCAAAATCTCCTGTTCTTCACCTAAGGTTGTGTGAAGGATATAGGCTGGGAGAGAAAAGGCCAAGTTCATGGGTTATAACAGATTGGGGAGAGTAATATAAAATTGTCAGATCATGTTTACTCTATGTCTTTCCTATGTGTCTGGACTGCTTAGTCATTTGTCAGGAAAAGCAAGATTTTAAGTACTAATCTTGATAAGGCAGAGGAAAGAAAAAATGGAGAGGAAAAAGAGGGACAGACAAGAGGTTAGAAAGAGGGAGAAAGATATTGAAAAATGATGGTTTTTGATTAGATTAAATATACTTCAAGTGTAGCTCAAAGTCATATGTAAAAGACTTCCCTTGCTTCTGTAAGTAATTAAATTATTAATATAATTATTATACTGAGAGTCATTTCAAGGATAAATAAAATTCTCAGATAAAATTGCATAAATTTGAATAGCTTCTGGAAAATATGTGCAAGTTCCCCAAGTGATGTCTGCCTTAGTAGAAGAATATAGCAACCTAGTGTAATGAGGAGCACTGATGGCCTTAATAAATAATTAAATATTACCTATCATTTGATGACTTCTTTCTCTTTTCCCTAAGCATGTCTGGATGAATGTTTGGTAAAATAATGACGAATTAGAGATTCCTATGACCTTGGGAACCAATCTTCACTAAGATTATTGTATATCCAAGAGCCAAAAAAAGAAGAAAAGAAACAGGATCAGTGAACATAGATCTATGGCCAACTGTCTAAATGCTGTTGGACCTAGTTCACTTCTTTGTCTTATTTTTGTGGAATTTTGCCACAGTAGACAACTGTAATGGATTCAAATGCAGTCTAAGAAATAATTTTTGGTTTGTGTCTTCTTTATTGCTTGTTTTATTTATTATAGAATCTATTTCCAGCAAATCATGTAGTGGTGCCTACCAATTCCTGCATGATATATAAACCATTGCATAGTGCCCCAGGCTATGTCATGGTGTGTGTGTTTTGGGAGTTCAGGCTGTGGTTCTGTCTCCTTAACTTCCTTCCTTTCACAGTAAAGAGACCCTATTGCATATTAGGCTGGAAGGCTGAAGCAGAGTATGGGATGAGCGGGCTTCTACAGGATCCTGGTCTGGCTGCGAGGGAGTATATGGGGCAAGAGGGTGAGAGAAAAGACCTTATCTAAGAATCTTCAATGAAACAGCTCTATGAGACAATCTTAGCTTATGTATATCCTTTTATTCTTATGCATATCCCTTTATATGGGGTGGGCTTGTATACATACACTTATTTGGGCTAAACCAGGTGTATATATGGACTTTGAAGAGTGGGAAGTAGTTTGGGGGGTAAATAAAAATCACTGGCTAGAGTTTAAAGTTCTATGAATCCCTTCTTTGGACGGAGAAGCATTCCAAGAATCCCAGATACTTGTTGGGCTGGTTCTTATCAGGAAAAGAGTTGAATTTCTAGGCATGTCAAGGACTACAAGACCTTTTCCCAGGTATACTGTGGGGATTTGGGCTCCTCAGGCAAGGTCAGAGAAGAAGAAGTCCTACTGATAAAGTGACTCACACATTTTGCACAGAGCTCGGAGAGCAATCTTGACAATGGTAGACTGAGACTTTATTTAGCAAGGTCTAACATCTCTGTTGCTCCTGTGACAGGTAGAATACAGCAGAAGGGTTGGATGGGATATCTGTACTAAAAGGATATTAGGACCTGGGGTTTTTAAGTTTTCTTATTCCCTCTTTTGGACTGATTACTCAGATGGAAGCCAGATTCCATATTGTAAGGTCTGTGGAGCACTCGGTGTGAAGGGTACAGACAACACAATACAGTAGCTATATAAAGGAGACATCTGGAAATTGGATCCTTCAAGCCTTTTGTATAGCTGGCAATTACATTGTAACACCCAGAAAGAGTAAACCAGACTAGAACAGTAAGCTGTTCCCAGGCTTTCAACTCTCAGAAAACATCTCATGTGATAAATGTTTGTCTTGTGTTTCTTTAGACATGTTAAAAGACAACAATATAATCTTTCTTTTTTTTTTTTGTCCCAAAGCTCAAACTGTGGTTTGACTCCCTTGAATTTTGTAGGCTTAGTCCTGCAGAAGCAGACAGCCAATGGAGAAAATGCAAAATGACAAGGTCTGAAGTTAGCCATTTAGAAGAATATCAGCTACAGGTAACATGAACACTTTTATTAAAGCAAGAAACATTTTAAGAACAGAAAGTTTTCAATAGACAGTCAGAAGTATTCTTGCTGCAATCAGTATCAGGGAGGACACAAGCATATTCTGAATTAGTAGCAACCTGACAGAAGTGACAAGCAGGGAGGTCTATGAACAGGCTGAGTTCTTTCAGCCAGGTAGATGGCTCTGGGAAAGACATTCAACATCGATGCTTCCTGGTAGATGATGCACATGAAGACGGGATTAAGGACAGAGTTGTCAAGGTGAAGCTCCAGTGCAATAAACAGTCCAAGGACCCAGGGAGAAGAGCCGCTTGACAACGTGAGAAAGTGACTGTTAGGAAATACTTATGTAAGATAAGCACTGAATGAGGAGGAATACTGACTGACTTGTTAGGTGATCCCCTAGCTGATGGCTGGAGCTTCCATGAGGAGCAAGCAAAGTCCACCTCTATCACATCAGTAATGACAACTCAGCTAAGTTAGAGAAGTCTCTGGGCAGGTTTTATATCCGATAGGTAGACTAGAGTTGGAGGAACACAACTTCAGGCAGATTCTGTAAGGCTATATCATTTCTTTAACCTATATATTTTGAAGAAGGCAGTTGCACCTTCCTGTCATATACAGCTCCAGAATCTATGTGTTCATTTAATCTAAAGTGGAAGTGTTTTTAGTATAGTACGTTCAGCATTGTATGTAGAATGAATTGAATGGGATAGGGACAGAACCAGAAGCATCCTAAAGGAACATGGACACTCTCAAAAAGAAGCATGAACTCATGCTGATCACACCGAGCAACAGGCATGGTACTGCTGTGAAATAGTGCAGATCACTTCTGATGAACAGATAAACTTAACTAAAAGCTACTTCAGAAGAAATGATATGTATAAAAATTAAAAATGGCCAACAATGGGTTGCCCATGCACTAGTCTTACATCCATATGCATACATTAATTTTACTTAGTAGATTATAAAAAGGCAAAGGAAGAAGTTATGAAAGGAGTACTGTTCAGAAAGTATCAGAGGAGGAAAGTGAGAGGTAGATACAAACTAAATACATTGCATTCACCAATAAAAATTACCAAAGAATCTATATTAAATAATATTAATTCCATTTAAAAAATTATATCTAATTTCAAGCACTCTAGTGGCCTGACAGATTTTGCTGAGTCAGGTACAACCAAGCTGGAAGCCAACCAAGCTGCTACCATAGTGGCTTGAAACCACCACCTCTGTTGTTCCTACCAGATGTACATGGAATGAAGACTTTATTTCATGAAGAATGGTAATTACTTGGCAGGCCATGGCTCTGTACATATGTGATTTTAAAATATGTATAAAAGGCATTTTTCAAAAATCAGTTTCTAAAGTGCTTTCATGTATAGCCTATCAAGTTGTGATTGCAGAACAAGAAAAAGGAGGAAGTGCATTCTGTCTGTCAGCAGGGAATTGCTACTGTGCTTAATGACTTCAGTGTTGAAGAGAAGCGTGGGCAATGTGAAACACTCAGTCTGAGCTCTTAACTGTAATATTCACCAGTTAATGGAAGGGAAAAGAACTGATCTTGAGCTGAGATTGTTTCAGATTTCTTTTAACTGTCAATTTTGAAAAATTATTCTGAAGACTGAGTCAGAGGAAAAAGCACACTGAGAATGTTTGGACTTTTTAACAAGAAGAAAAGTCTGGAAGCTCCTCTACTCATTTGTTCACCAAGAGAAAGCAGTCCCAGAAGAACAATTCTGGGATTTGTTGAAGGTGTTTTTGTATCTTGTGGTTTAATCATTAAGATTAGCTCCACAAAGTATATTTAGCTTACATATATTATTGCATAATTAAGTTTTGTAATTTTTTGTTGTTGTTGTTTAATTTTGCTTTGCTTTTCATTTCCCAAGTCATTGCCATTATAGTGGTATGCAGTAGATCAGATTTCAGAAACAAATGACCTAGCCAGAAGAACAACAATGTTCATTTAAAGGATATTTCCTTAGACATATTGAGGTCATGAGGTCATGAGGAAGAATGGGACTAAACTGTGATAGCTTAATCTTCATGAAAACATATCTTTATATAAAAATTAAAATTAAAAGCTAATTTTATATTACCTATTGATTAGGAAGACAATTTTTTCTTGGTTAATCTTTTGAATAGTCATTCTATTTTGATTTGTATAAGATCTATATCAAAGAATATTATTAAGACACTCTTTAGCTGGGTGATGGTGGCACATGCCTTTAATCTCAGCACTTGGGAGGCAGAGGCAGGTGGATATCTGAGTTCGAGGCCAGCCTCGTCTATAGAGTGAGTTCCAGGATAGCCAGGACTACACAGAGAAACCCTGTATTTTTTTTTCTAAAAAAGACACTCTTTTAGCATTTTTGGTGGGCAATAAAAGCCCAGAGCTCCAGTGTAATTGTTTTCTCTGAGTGGTAGAACTACAGAGAAATGAGAAATGCTCTGTGCTGCTGTGTTCATCTCTCCCTTACATACATAGAATTTTTCAGTTTGGGGAAGAAAATATTATTCTTTTTTTCTTCCTCCAAATGATTCTGGCTTCGCTAAAGTAAACATCAAGAGGAAGATCACTTAACATAAGCAACTGAAAACACAGTAACTTTTAAGTGCTCTTCAATATCCTATTCCCCCTGTACCTCAAATCATGTGATAGATTAACATTTCCTTAGCACAGTGGTGGTGCCCTTGACTGACTTTAGCCAGTAGGAAATTTCCAGTCACCAGCAGTTACTTGCTGATGCCAGATTCTCCAAAGGGTCCTTCTGT